CTAATTAGGGCTGGCCTAAGTGATGAGATGGTGTTTGGCTGCTGTGCTGAAGACCTGGATTTTGGAAATGAATGTGAGATTCTCAGTCTTTAGACATTTGGGACCAGATTTTCAAAAGAGCTCAAAGCTAGACTTTCAAATGTTCAGCACCCATGTATTCAAAGTTTGTTTCCTGCCAGCATCATGAAGCACATAAACATTTAAAGAGATTGAATGATCTACCATCTTGGAGAAAGATAGGGTGTTATTATGAGGCCAATCAGATTGGAAAGGGTATTTCATCTAATGAAATAGAGCCAGATCCCTTACTCATGGTGAACTACACCAAACTCTGCAAGCAATCTCATTGAAATGAATGGGACTGGCTTGCTGGGGAAAAAAGCACTACTGAATGTGAATAAACGGGGAGAGGGAGCAGAATCTGTCTCATAATGCTGTATGATAAAATGGAGAAGAACTGAGCTGGAAGGCAAAGTTAAGTATATTTGTATCACACACAATATGTTTAACAGAAAACTTTATAACACTGGTAAGATGAGCATGATGTAATATCTTGTAAATACAGTACCAGGAAACTGAAGTTCAAAAAAATATACTTTATGTGAATACTGAGTCTAGACCTAAACAAGAAAGAAATTCAGAACTTCTTATTACCTTGGGGGAAAGAGTTTTATCTGAAGTGGAAAGTGGTATCTCTAACTGTACTTAAAACATCTCTTGAATAGTTATTAAACCTTCCACAGACCTACACCAGGGACATGTAAAAACAGCAAAGATAAATAGGGAAAGCAATACCTCCTACAGTCCTAAAAGTTAACTGTATAATCTTAAAGTCAGCCCTAAGGGAGTTGGTTCGAATGTACACAGGACTAGTAGATATGCTCTATACACCTGATACAGCTGAAATGCGAGAGGACTGCACCACTCAGTGCAGTTTAGATTAATTTATCACAGCAAAATAGAAAATATTTTACAAGTTCATAGCCATTTGGGAATCAGGACTCAGCTGTCTGAGACAATTAAATGTGATCTACTTATAGACTATAGTACACTGGTGCATCTTGAATGGTCAGTTTCTGGTGTGTTCAAATTTACCTATTGGGTGAATTACTCTGCTCCAAACCATACTGCCCTTTCTCTTGGTTCGCTGCAGGAATTTTTAAATGAGAGAACATGTTATGAGACATATCAGCTGGGAAGGAACAGCTTTTCTGTAGGGTAGCATCTGCTGCCCTCAGGCCATTCCTCAGTGGCCATGATGTAGATACACAAAGGACAGACTGAAACCATAAGAGGGCCAGACTGATTTTATGACTATTATGCCACAGTGCCAAGATGCCAGATGCACAATGGAGATACTGCATTCTGGGGTACACAGTAACTGCCATATTGGGTGAGTCCAATGGTCATTCTAGTCCTGTATCCTTTGCTCTAATCTTGGCCAATACCAGATGTTTAAAGGAAGATGGAAATGGAAAATTACATAATAATCTGCTCTGGTGGAAATTTCTTCCTAACTCCAGGCAGTTAGTGATTGGCTTGTACCCTGACATGTAAAATATGAAATTCAGAGTGGCTTTAAACCAAACTGTTATACACAACCTACTCTACAGTATGAGTCTCCTGACATTTATATTATTAAAAAAGAGAGAATATTGTGGTACTAGACATAACGTTGTTTTGTTTTAATCTCACAATGGTGCATCGGGGAGCCAACTGAACTGAACAACTCACTGTCAGACAGTGACTGTGGAAGAACTTTGAAATATTTAATCAGAAGCACATCCAGAAGTTAATGATCTGGCCCACATTCTCCTCTCATTCATGCCAGTGTAACCCCATTAGCTTGAACAACTGGCAGTTCTGAACAGATGTTATGAAACGTATCTGAAAAACTCACTAGAAACCCCTTTCTATTCTAGCCCAAAGGACCAAAGTCTATAAGGGGATGTTTTAGCGGATGTGTGAGTGTTGGGCAGTGGGGAAAGAGGGGTGGCATTTTATGTCTTTCTCACAGACACTGTGGGATAACACGCATAGAAACAAGATTGAGTTCCTGTTTACACTGGAAAATCTGACAATCCTAAAATGCATAATGTTGTTTGGCAAACACTACCACAGAGGGTTTGGAGTTGTAAACTGAAACTAAAACAGCAAACCGGTTTTATTAAAAGTTTAATTTTCTAATTAAGCTTTGGATTTTTGCTGGGAGCAGCCTGATGTTTCTTTCCTAAAAGCACCCCAAGCTCAGTACATTTACACGTTAGTTTTGCATGATGGAGCAGAGACTCCATGTGATAAAGGGTGTATGTTGTAAAGCTGATTTTCTACTGAAATGGTCCATGTACCACTGCTATAAAAATAGTGAAAGATTTCTCATTCATTGAAGTGTCATTGTCAAGCTGTTACAAAAGTGCAACAATACACTTATTCTCTGCATGTCAGAGAAGACTGAGTGTAAAATCTGTCCAGAATAAGATCCTTATTAAACACAGTCAAAGGGCTAGATTCTCAGCTGCTGCACATCAGCATAGTTCCACTGGCTTCTCATGAAGCTGTAATGATTTGCACCAGCTGAAAGTCTGACCCAAGGTTTCTTAGGGCCATTTCTGAAAAGTACTGAACGCCTCCCACTATGTGTTGATGGCATGCAGCATCTCATAGGAGATGCTCTGAAGAGAATAGTCCTGTTCCCTTTCTAATAAATGAGTTCCTTGGAACAGCTTGATTTCATCAATCTTTTTTACCAACTTCCCTTCTTCCATCTTCTTTCCCTGTCAGCAACCAGGGAACTTTTGTTCAAGCTTAATGATGCACTATTTTTATGATATTTCCTGGGTATAGTAAAACTTGGGCCACAATTCATGAAATGTGTTATTTGGTTCATTCCTCGTCTCAACCAATTGATTTATGCTCATCTCAGGCTGCCTGCTTTTAGGGCTCGTCTACACTTGAAAGTTAATTTGGATTAAGTTAGAGTGTGAACTGAAAGCACAAATCACTATTTCTGAATAACTCCATGTGTGGACAAGCCCTAAAACAATCCAGGACAGCTATGGGAATGGGAGACACTACAGTCTCCTTTTCTTGGCAAAAGGCCTCATGGCATTTGAACGTCCAGCTCTTCTCTCCTCCAAGTCATGCAGGAAAGAGAATAGAATCCCTTTACCAGCTCTGTGTGCAAGAGGACTAAAAGGGCCAGCAGTCTCTCTTCCATGGCATTTCTCCTATTTCCACCTTCACCACCTGCCTCTGCATGGACAGAGTGAAGATCCTAGCTCTACCCTCTTTCTCTGTTCTCCATAGGGGTAAGATCCATCATGGCAGAAACTAAGTGTTAATGAAACAACAGTAGCTTAATGAAATGCATAGATGAGACCACGTTGTGAGGAGCTGTGAACACCAGTGAGGATAAATGATGCAAAGGGGCATAGAGAAACTAGAAATATGGGCAATAAACAACAAAAGAAGATTCAGTTTAGGAAAATTCAAGCTCAAAAATATTCAGTGAGACGTACAAATGTGGAAATGTTGGGGTCTCAGTGGGCAGCAAATTGGATGGGAGATCATGATGCAGTGTGGCAGCAAAAAATAAGCTTTTACAAAAATTGATTATATCACTAAATCTGTCACAGAGCTGGTCAAATAATTCCATCAAGTATTTAATTTGACAACATTCATGATATTTCAATTAATTATTTTAGTTACTTACCCAGTTTTTAGAACTGGACAAATAATTCACAAACCAGGCTGCTGAAGCACATTTATATGGGTGAATGAGAAAGGTAGATACATAGACAGATACAAAGACCTATAAAGACCAAGTACAGGGGGTTGTGTACCCGTATATGCAGTGTAGAAGCTTGCTCAGGGAGATCTATACAAAAGTAGCAGTATTGATTTTGGTTTTATTACGATAGATTTTTCCATTCCACTAGGTATAAAATAACAGAGTTATGTGTGTGTTGTGGGGGGCAGGGGGAAGGGTCGTTATTAAGTTCTCAGTAATTTCCTTTGAAAAGGTGCTACAGGTCATTTTAAATATGAATTTGTGTTTCAAAGAAGTCTGAAAGCCAAATTCTGGAAGCAGAAGCACTTATAGTTGCTCACATTGATTTCAAATGTTCCATATAATCCTTAAAACTGCAAAGTTTTCCCTCATTCTTGCTTCTTATTCAGGCACAATTCGGTTTTTTCTACCCATGCTGCTCACTCAACCATGGGAGAGATATGTTCTTAATTATCTCTGCTTTTACAGGACATTAACTGCTGCTTATTTATTTTACTGGCTTTATAGCAAGTTTCAAGCAAGTAAGGTGTAAATACGATCAGAATATCTAAGGGTGCCATGCTATTTAGACATTATATAGAGTGGAAATGTGTTTTATTTCAGAATGATCAACATCAATTTGTGTAGCTATGTCCAGAGATATACATTTTCCATTATGAATTTCTATTACTTTTTCTCCACTACAATGGAAAAAACCTAAGTCTTTAAAATTTACAGGCTATACCTTTAAAGAAGACTGTTCCTATTGTGTGTGTGTGGGGGGGAGAGTTATGGGGTTTTGTTCTGGGAGTTTTTGGTGATTTTTGGAGAGGGCAAACTGTGCCTGAAATAAATGCATGTGATTACTTGATTTAGGACAGTGAAAAATGTGGTTGTAATTTTCCAATTGCAAACTGAGTCTACACAAATGGGTATTTACTCTTTAAAATATATTATTAAAGGACCAAGCCAAGTAGCTTAGCCCCAAACATGTGAGAATGAATAATTTACACAACATTTTCTTTTTCTACAGGTTGCAGAATGGTCAGCATTAAAATTAGCAAAAGATGAAAACAAAAAAAGACATCATTTTATGAGTGTGAGACATCATAAAGAGGAAGACAAAGAAGGAATTGGGTTCCTGATCCTGCCCTGTTGAAGTGAATGGGGACTTTACCATTAACTTGGTGTAGAATCAAACCCTGAGAGAGGAAATCATCTGAGTACTCACCTGTACACTAGTAAGAGTGGTGTATTGGTAAGCTTTGACTACCAGGTAATTGGCTTCTATATCTATTATCCCCAGGATCATGTACTTCCACCATCTCCGTTTCAAAATTGCCAACAAGTTTTCTTCTCCTGTGTTGGTAGATAAAAACAAACATACAATTACATATAAAGAGTTAGAAACACACCCACAACAAACTATGTCTCATGAGAGATTATACTATAGAGTCTTATGCAATCAAATTAGTGGATAGTTTCAATTGAACATAAATCCAGATTGTGACTTCAATATAGTTAAAACTCAAATATGTACAAGGTATTTTAGGTAGGTAAAAACTAACACCTTATTTGTCTTGCAATTCAACACCACAAAGCAAGCTGGTTGTCTGGGTTTTCAGTTCACTTGGGTTTTAAAAACTTGCCATGAAAAATGATTTGAACTTAAACAATTGTTGGTAATATTTCCTAAGACTATTTTATTGTTCAGTTTATGTATGCAAATCCTGACTACAGAATAATAAATACGATGTAAAACATGATGCAAGAGGTTCTCACTTAAAGTAGGAGAGCAACAGTATGCAAGGGTATCTGAGTAACCAAGCAGAACAGTAACAGCATAATCAGGCTTATTATGAAGTTTAAAGGAAAGTTATTGTGATCTTAGGTGCAGATTCAAAAACGTTGGACTAGTTTAGAGAAAGGTTGCACAGAGACAAACAGATTTTGCGTGACTGGTATCTCTGCTTCCAGAATCAATTTTTGAGCAACCAGATTTGTTCTGCAATGCCCTGGCAATGGAATCCTGTCAGTCACACAATACTTAATTTCTACTACGTGAAGACTGTCAGCACAACATGGCTTGCAGATCAAATCCATAACTTCGGCAAGGTCAGACAGTTCTAATGCTGGGCCAAGGATTATTACTGTTCTCAGTTCAAAAGAAACCAAACACACATTCACCGGGGACAGATAACCCTATTATTTATGTGCACTGTGGCAGCACCTGCAGGGCCCCAATCATGATTGGGACCTCCTTGTGTGAGGAGTTGTACAAACCCATCGTAAGTGACAGCCACTGCCCTAAAGAGCTTATAGTCTAAATATGGATATTAGAGCTGACCTGAACCACTGTCATAAAGCCTGACCTGAACGGGAACCATTTGGGAAGTTAGAAAAAGTTCCATCAATTTAATATTTTTGTGTGTCTCCACAAATCCTTTTAGTGTCAGCTGTAACCACAATTACCAATGGGCAAAATAGGATAAAAAAATAAACTGAACATTATTCCAAATAGACACCAAAACTTTTAAAAGATTTGAAAAAGTTTCATTGGCTTTCCCAACTGCACCCCCATTATTCTTCATTGTCATGTGTGCCCATGGATTTCTAGGTTCCAGCTGAAATGGGTAACAGATGTGCTACCATCTCCTAAGAAAAGGTGGCCTCTTGGCATTTCTGGAACAACCTGGAGGAGGACTCTCTGAAATCTCATGAGAATTCTAACCTACCTTTGCAGATGAAAGAGGCAAATACTTCAGATACTCATCCAAAAGCTTGGACGTGAAAAACTGGCTTAATTGGAATCTATAGGAGTGGTGCCATTGACTTCAACGGGGCCAGGATTTCATACTGAGCATTTTCCCCAACCAAACCTGTGATTCATAGGACATTTGTTCATTAAGAAATACACTCACACGCACTCTTTGCAATGGGGGTATCATGAGGCAGCATCCTAATTATTTGCTGTACTGGCAGTGACATTGAGAATATAACTTTTGGTAGGTTAAGACCAGACTTTGTTTACTTGCAGAAAGAAGCACAGAAACAGCAGGAGTCAGGAATGTGATTACTTTGCTCAGATGACATCCAATAAGTAATTTAAGAATCTGTATTCGAATGAGTTGGTCCCTTCTACCACATCAGACATTTCCATTAACCTTTGTGCTTTAAGTGATTTTGGCTGCAAAAACACTCTGGTTTATGATGCTGCATAGCACAATATATTTGAAACATGCTATAACTTTATGCCTCTGTGTTGATTTGAGGATGCAAAACAGAGTAACTTTTTCCTTTGAGTCTGCTTATTTTTTGAACATGAAAAGTGATGAATTTTCAAAGCAGCACTTGGGGATTAAGCCACGTGATTAACATCAGTGCAAGTCACACAGGTAAATCCTTTCCCAGGATTTTGAAAATGTATCCCAAAAAGTTACAGTGCCAAAATGATTTGACATACCCTTAAACCACCGCATTGAAAAGTGCCAGTGTAATGAAAAGGCATATTAAAGCTTTGAAGTGATATTTTCCCTTACTTTTAAAGAGAGTTTAAAAATAATGAAATCAAGTTCTGGAACGTTGTAGGGTTCATTGAGTCACGTAGTGTGATGCAGTATTAGTGGGGGAATTAATGCTGATACTTGTCAATATTAAAGTTCTGTTTCAGCAAAGCACTTAAGCATCTGCAAGGCCAACCCCAGATGTGGTACCCCTGGAAGTTGGCACCCAGGACAACCATCCTCCTTTGCCTGCTCTTAAGGGTGTCTCTGAACACCTGCTTAAATCCAGGCCTATTCAGGGGAGCACATAAGCATGAAGTTAACTTTGAGAAGCTGTTGAAATCTCATTGCACATGTTTCAACTGTTTTCTGAATTGGGGCTTAATTCCTGTGCTCCAGAGATATGGGGTGCTTGAAATAGAACGAAAGAAAAGACCAAGGTGGAAAAAAGTGGTTTAGATTGAAAGATCAAGACTCTCTTAAAATATGAAGTGCTTCAGTAACTTTAGATTGCTAAATTCAGGGCAAAGTTATTTACAATTACATTAGGGCCCTCTTTCTGTTTTATAAATAGTACTATTGGGAAGTGAGTTGAGCATCAGTGGAGTTGACATCACACTGAACTAATTTAAACGTGAAGGGGTCTATTGCCTTATAAATGCAGTGGGGAGGAAAGTTTACACAGCTGACTACTATCAATGCTACTGGGAGTTCAGTCATAGATCTCCCCGCACCAACTGGAAAACTTGTGAAATTAATGGAAAATTACAATAAAGGCTGAAATAAAGAATCTTAAGAAATAAAAAAAGCATTAGCTTGCACTGGTAAGTCATGAACAGCAAATCATTTGCTCTGAAACAAACCAAAGTGGGGCAGGTATGGTGAAATAGATTACCATGGCTTTAAATAATTACATTTACATATCAGATAAGATGGATACACATAATCTGACCAGGATGGCTTAAATTACTGTACAACACAATATAGACTGTCTTTACCAAACTGACCCCCAATGGACCAATGGTAACATGTTTTCTCCTTTCTTCCTCTTTTTTGTGTGATTTAATGTGTATTGTCTTGATTTAGTATCACAAACTGAGAAGAGGAAGTTAAACAGAGGATAATGTACAATACAAGATTTTGTAATATATACAATCATTTTGAAAAAAAGGAAACACATTAAGAAAACAATGAAAGAATAGCAAAGGTCACCACAGAACCCAAGTTCAAGAAAAGCAGAAATAAGACAGAGGAGATTAAATGAGTAAATAGACTAGAAATATCTACACCATTGCTGGGTAACAAAAGGTGTAGTTCAACAATACTGTACACTATATTTCATATTACTTGCAACTCTACTATCAATCATTAACATAATAAATAGCTATGACAGGGGGGAGGGATAGCTCAGTGGTTTGAGCATTGGCCTGCAAAAACCCAGGGTTGTGAATTCAATCCTTGAGGAGGCCCTTTAGGGATCTGGGACAAAAAAAAAAAATCTGTCTGGGGATTGGTCTTGCTTTGAGCAGGGGGTTGGACTAGATGACCTCCAAAGGTCCCTTCCAACTCTGATATTCTATGAAATCTATGACAAGAGTCCCAAGGCTCACTTCTCTTTCAAATACCAGAGGTTCATGAGGTGCCAGTTCTGATGGACTATATTACCAATTCTCAGTTTGCTCCCTGGCTAGACCTCCACCTTTGGAGAGACAATCATCTGGCCATGAGGTCAGTCCACAGAAACAGGTTCTGATGTTTACTCAGCTGTCTGTTAAAACTAAGGAGAGCTGGTAGGAATATTTCTGGTTTTCACTCCAAGTCTTATATCTAAAATAAAGCTTCTCCTTGTGCACACATTATTCCAAAAGCCTCTCCTTTTAGGGAATTCTACACCAAGGTAATAGAGATGTTGGGGTGCCTCCCCATTGCCAACAGTTATCATTATTACTTAAAAAAATAGCTAAGAGGGCCCCAATGCATGTAAAGGATAAATTGTGCTACATAGTCAATAAATGTAAATTCAAAAGGTGATTTTTTCCATATTGTGCCTTCTACTCTGCACTAAGCACATCAACAGAAATTTCCAAATCTACATCCCAGTCAGCCCCTAGACTGTCCAAACTCACTTCTGAAACTGTAGGGCTTTTATTATTACTTTAGCATGCCCTCGTCTCAAACATTGTGAGTCCATATGTGAACCCCCCATGTAGAAATGTAACCTCTGACAGCTCCAAGCCTGGATGTTAACCTCTGCAAAGTGTTCCCTACATGAGATGGACTGGTAGTAATTTTAATCTAAGTAACATCGTCTGACATGCATTTTTTCAAGGCCAGGACTCATGGACATCTGCTTGTCATTCATATTCTACACTTGCTGAGGATTATCTAAGAGTTCTAGTTTTTTAATCGACCTTTTGGGGAAGAAATTTAGCTACCCTTCTGACACCTCTCTGAAGTGGAAGATGAGGAAGTTGACTAAGATTTCCCCCCAAAATCATTCTGTAATCCACAAGAATGGCAATCCATAGTGGGACCTCCTCTTAGAGCACCATTGTTCTTCATTGCCTCCCCTGGAAGTCTGTATTTTCCTCCTCATTGTATTCATCCTGGCCTGGGAAAAATAATTGCCTTACTTTGAGATTTCTAAGACTATATTCTTCTCTGTGTTGAGCAGCGTCCATTCCTTGACTGGGTATACCCAGACAGAAATTGTGGAGACCCCAGCTGGTGATAGGAGGCACATCAGGTTGTTTTAGCTAGTCTGGGAATTTCAGAATTTTGGAGACTCATCTCAGTTAATGCTCAATGGGCTAAGTCTTGATCTCTCTGGTGTTCCAATTAGGCCTGAGGCTGAAA